AGTAGCCAAGTATCTCAGAGTAGGACAAAACCAATCACAAAAGGGTGGTGTCATGTTTTGTAAGAAGCATGTTATGTTTCAACCTTTCTCATCACTCTATGGAAGGAGTAGAGAACCTCAGGCCTGGAAGTTAAATGTCTCCCCAGGCCATGTCCCTTCCCAGCCACTCCCATGCTGCACACCCTCTTTGGGTGCTTTTTCATGTCCGTGAGCTCTGAAAAGTCTCTTGCTTGCCTGGATGAAGGATAGAGAGAAGGGTGCATGATTGTGTGCAGAAGCCAGCCTACTGCAAATGTAAAACTGATATCAACTGCTCCACTCATTTTGGCATCTGTCTCCACCTACTACTAGCATGTGGTCCCTGGAAGGTTGCCCCAAGGGGAATGTAGTATTGGATGAGGATGTTCAGAAATGGTACAGGAAAAGAATATTATACCTTTAACACTAACAGCTCTACAGTGGTGCCTCGCAAGACGAAATTAATTCGTTCCGCAAATTTTTTTGTCTTGCGATATTTTCGTCTTGCGAAGCACGGTGTTGGAAAAGTTTTGGAAAAGCTTCAAAAATCACCAAAGTCTTCAAAAACCTCAAAAAAGGCTACCACACCGCGCGCTATGAGTTGCTCCTCGAAGTCAATTCGCAACTGTATTAACGGTTTTAAGAAAAAAGAAACAAACTTGCAAGACGTTTCCGTCTTGCGAAGCAAGCCCATAGGGAAAATCGTCTTGCGAAGCAACTCAGAAAACCAAAACCCTTTCGTCTTGCGAGTTTTCTGTCTTGTGAGGCATTCGTCTTGCGAGGTACCACTGTATATGGAATTTCAGCAGGTGCTTTTCTTCCCCACTCCTGCATGATAAGCTGCCAATATTTCTTCTACCGCACCTCTATTAGGTTTAAAGGAAGAGAAGGCCCCTCCACCCTCTGCTTAGCCTAGGGCTAAGGGTATTTACCCTTTCCAGTGCCAGTAATAATGCTTAGCTATGTTAAAAAAGAAAAAGAAAAAACGAGGAGCTATAACTATATCCTTCCACTCTTCTAGAAAGTTCAATCTCATAAAATGCTACACATTATGTTCTCTATACTGGAAGAACAACCAGAGCTGTTCCTAAGTGAAGAATGTGAAAAGGTACATTCACAAAACAAGGTGGTTGTTTTCTTTCACCCTCCATTGTACATTGACTTCTCAAATTTTCATGCTTTGGGAATAAAGATGTCTGGTTGGAAGCATGTGAGAGGAACTGAATTCAACAGCAGTGCTCTTCCCACTTGTGATTCCCAGCAACTGGTCTTTAGAGGCATCCTGCCTCTGATAGTGTAGATAGTACATAGCCATTGTGGCTAGTAGCCATTGATAGCCATGATTATGCCTCTTTCTTAAAGCTGTCCAAGTTGGTGGCCATCACTACTTCTTGTGGGAGCAAATTTTATCATTTAATGGGTCCATTGTGCTCCTAGCCAGGAAGGTAGTTCTTTTGGTAGTTTACCAAGTCTCATTTTCATCAAATATACATCAAATATAATCCAGCTCCAGTCATGTAGTGTCGTCTGAGCCTTCCCAGTTCCATTAACTTCCACACCCTGGAGCCATGGAGTAAAGGGAGCAGAGGCAGCTGAACAGGCTACAGTGCAGAGCATGTTCATTCTGAAACCGTACACTGGTTTAAATTAATGCTCTGCTTCCAATGTCATGATGGGATGTATCCAAATAAGTTCTATTCAGAGTAGATCCATCAATTCTAATTAATGAAAATCAGCCCTGTCCATCAATTTTCAATGGGTCTACACTGAGTAGAGCTTACTTGGCTACAATCCTAAGCTTTCACCACACTGTCTTCAGTAGTAAAGTCATAAAGGACTTCATTTCTATATATAAGAACAGAAGAAAGGTCTGGTGGCTGGATCAGGCCAGTGACCCATCTAGTCCAGTACCCTCTTCTCACAGTGGCCAACCAAACGCATGTGGAAAGCAGGACCTGAGTGCAACAGCAACTCTCCCCATCTGCAGTTTTCAGAAACTTGCATTCAAAGGCATACTTCATTCAATAGCAGAGGTAAAATGTAGCCACCATAGCTAGCTGCTGCCAATAGCATTTTCCTTCTAATCCACTTTTAAAGCCATCCAAGTTGGTGGCCATCACTGCCTCTTGTGGGAGAGAATTCCACAGTTTTAACTATGCACTGACCATCCTGAATTTCTTTCATTGATTCACAGGGATGGGAGGGACTTGAAGGCATCTAGCCCAACCTCTTGCTCAGTTCAGGATATAGCTACAGGCATTCCTGACAGACGGTCACACAGCCTCTGATTAGCACTTTTAGACTTCAGTGAGGATAGATCTGCTGCTGTTCCTCCTCCAGGCTGAGGAAGAATTTAATGGCTATCACACATGTTTGTCCAAAAAGAAACCTGGTTTGATGAAAAGGGTGCTCAACTACTCACGGGAACATAGGAAGCTTCCTTAAAACAAATCAGAGACTGTTACTCCATCTAACTCAATATTGTCTACTTGGACGGCAGTGACTGTCTAGGATTTCAGACAGTGAGTCTCTCCCAGCCTTGGAGATTCCAGAGATTGAACATGAGACCTTCTGTATGCAAAACAGATGCTCTACCACTCAACTATGGCCCTTCCCTATCAATTGCTTCTTCTCATGAGGACAGAAGTATTATGATCTACTTCTGAACAACTTGCACAGTCCTGTTTAGGAAGCCCCAAAGAAACAATGCAATCCCCTTCCCTGTAAGGGAATTTCAATTCAGTATTGAAATATCACCAACTGAGTGTTAATCGTAATACAGTAGAAGCACATACAAGAGGGGGCAGGGTCACTTGTGACCCTGCAGATGCTGCTGGAATCCTTCACCATTGGCTAGGTTGGTGTTGCTTGGAGTCCAACAACACCTGGAGGGCACCAGGTTGATCCCCCCCCACCTGACTTAAAACAGCAGTTCAAACTTGGATAGTGTGGTTTGGATAGGGACCCTCAACAGCATTCTTAAAACTACTGTATAAAAAGAACAAACATTTGTTCTGTTTGAGAAAGTGGGAGGGCAGATAGTTCCATCAATTATCTAGGAGTAAGTTCCATTGAACTATGCATGGATACGCATGTCTAGGGTTGCACTGTAAATACATACTTAGTTGTGCTAGGCTTGATTAGGGATGTTCCACTGTCTGAGCTGGAATGTGCTCCTACATCATGATAATGAACAATGGCCATTTCATAGTAAATGACCATAGTGGAAGTATTGCAGGACCCCAGTAAACTCTACTACTATATTATTCCATGGTTTTACTTGGGGGGGGTGGTGAAGCAAGCAGGGTTTTGAGCAGCTTCAGAAAGCAAAACTGTGTGTTTACAATGTTTTTGTTTTTATAGAGCATCTGCATGGCATCATGCACAAAACACTCTGTTCTCTGTTCCTTTGTTCAGGTCCTCCTTTTTTTAACTTCATAATTTTATGAAATTAATGCCAACTCTTTTTTTTTTTACACAATGGAGCAGACAGGTGAAGATAGCCTATTGTGCATCTGTTCAGTAGATTTGGGTGGGGGTGGGGGTGGACAGATATGGCTTGTATTGCTCTAACTATTGCCTATTCTGTGTTTCATCTCTCTGCTCTGCTCCAGCAACTGACTCTATCACTTTAACCCTTCCCTTTCCAAGCAGCACAATTCTCCCTCCCCCCCACAAAAAATCCCACAAAAAACCCAAATAGTGGAAGGCAATCATGGTCAGTAGTTTAGCAAGGGGGAGAAGGAGCACTTAGGGTTTTCATTATAGTATAGTTCAAATCCACATCCTTCCCAGTATTTGGATCTGGGGAAAGGGGAACTGCTCACCTGGCTACAAAATATCACTGAGTTTTCAAAGTGTGGAAGAAGTCTGGTTCTGCCAAACTGTCCATGTCCAGACACACCCTGTGGGTGCCGTTGAAGGGGACAGGTACACAATACATGCTCTTCCAGATTCTCTGTAGGTGTTCTGGAACCATTAAAGTAGCTAAACCCCAAGATCAATGGAATCCCCAAGCTGCTTTGAAATCTCTCCTTAGTTTTTAAAAAGTAGCTTAAAAATAGCTTAAGTGGCTTTAAAAGAAACTGCAGCTAGTTTTTATGTGCTGCTGCTCCCAACCAATCTTGGTTAGAGAGAAGCAGTGGAGAGAGTTCAAGTAGGGGTGGATTTAAAAACAAAGGTGAGAAATAGGAAGAGGGAAAAAAGGAAGGAAAGAAAACCTTCACAGAGTATGGGTATCCCCAATGACAATTTGAACTAAATCAAGTAAAAGTTAGTTGTCTCACTGAAAAACAACATAACGGGACTTAGGCCCATTTATGCATGCACACAACTAGTGTTGTTGTGGCCAGTTCAGCTTCATGTGAAATTTTATTCTTCAAGGTTAGTCCCAAAGGTGTGTTTATGATGTAACATGAAAGTGAGGCACCTCTGAAGGGCCTGGGATTCACTTGGGTTTGGTAGAAACACATTGGCAGAAAGACTCACATGGATGGTAGCCTTGATGAATTTTTGGTGAAGCTCCAGGTTCAATGGTTACTATACCAGTTGGGTGTGGCAGTCAGTGGGAATCCCACCAGTACAAACATGTGCAACCAGGTTTGACTAACTGAAGTCCAGTTGGCTGCTATGGGGGTGTTGTTTTTTCCAGGATTAGACCCAGGGCCTTTAATTGTGTTTCCAACTTGGGAACTTGCTTTTTCTCCACCTTGCACAGCTGTATTTTTTTTAAAAAAGAAACTTCAGAATAACTATTACTTTCCTAGATCATGTAATCGTGAAACAAAACATCAAACGTCAGCAGAATAACCTAATGTGTTTCCTACGCCAGAGCCTAGAGGCTTTGCGCTGTGACTGAGGGAAGCTATTCCAAAGATTTATCTTATGGGCTTTACTTGGCTTTCTCTAGTGATTAACTGTGTCATGTGTAAAAGGATATTGAGACTCGGATGGATGCATCAAGAAGTATCAATGATTGTTACCTGCAGAGGTGTTACAAGAAATTTCATCTGTTGCAACGAAGACGAATTGATTTCTGCAAGAGAAGATAAAATTCACAATACTGCTTGCTGACTGGGAAAGCTCCTAGCTGCCGATTGACTTTATGTTTACAGATGGGTTAAGGGGGGGGAGGTGCTTAATTTTAATGAATGCAGAGAGGAGGAGTGTTGCCATATCCTGTTACTTGAGAGTTTCTAAGGGTCACAAGATTGACATGCTAGGTCCCTTTCAATGGCATAATGGTGACGCTGGAAAATGGACGATACACAAGACTAGGGCATTGGGGATGTCAGTTTTAGCATTGCAAAAGTGCTCATGCTGAATTATACTTCACACTTTCCCTTTTGTAAATGAAGCTACATTTATAGTAATGTCTAAACTAAATTAAGGCAAACAATGTTGGTTATAGCACCCTTTTCTTCCTTCTTATTGTTGTTCTTATTGGGGTGGGGTGGGATAATCTAGTAAAACTAACAGCACTGAAAGTAGAAACCTGGGACATTTTGGACCACAATTCATACCACACAGCTCCATTGTCAGTATGAAAATAATGGTTTCAGTATCCCACCCACCAAAAACATTTATGACATAATACATGATTCTAATACACCAAATGTAGTGAATCTTTGGCCCTCCAGATGTTGTGAAACTACAGCTATTATCAGCCCTAAAAGCATAATCAGTGGCCAGGGATGGGAGTTGTAGTTCATCAACATTTGGAGGGCGAGAAGTTCCCATCACGTGCAATACATCATTTCAGCACTGATATAAATTAGTCACAACAGAATACTAAGTGACCCAAAACCTTCGCCTGCCCAGATCTTTTGATCTACTTTCTTAAAGTGTGTTGCAAAGAAGGGGACAGAGCTAAGAACATTTTAACTGCTTTGAATAAGGAAATAATGAAAATAATAATAAAAAGGGAAGACCACATTTCCATAATCTGGCTCAAACCATCATGCCTCATTTACTCATGCAATCATTCCATTGGAAGGCTAGCAGAAGTAAAGTGTGTAAATCGAGGGCACACTCAACGCACCATGCACGACAGCCTAGGGATACTGTGCAAGCACCATTGGAATGAACAGCGGTTGCTCAGCCACAGCGCTAAGGAGACACCACAGTGCCAGTAACCACACATAAGATTGGTCCTAAACCCACTGCAACATAGAAGCCGGTCTCATGCTCCATAAAAGCAATTAAAGAAAAAGGCAGGTGAGATGCTACCTGGGTGGTTGGTAGGTGCCTGTCACAGATATCCTCAATCCAGTTAAGCCAAAGTACTCCAATTCTTTTTCAGCTAATTGTAATGCACCCCCCCAAGCCAGTTACCCCCAATCTTATTAAAATTGGTGGGATTGCTCTGATCATGGACTGCAACTTAGGGCTTTGTGTGCTGTGGGAAAAGGACTGGAACATACCAAATTATTACTATCGAACAGGAAAGAGATGGCAGTTGACCATGCTATGCCAAGACCAGTCCATGTTTGCATACACTGTATCGGGCTCTGTGTAGTACAGGCATGCATGGGCATGTTTGGGACCACAATTCATGCCACACAGCACCAATGCACACTTTAACATATTGTATTATTGCCTGGCCTGAGTACTGAGTGCAAGTGCAATGACAGCACCATAGGAATAAATGCTATTTAAGCTATGGATGATTTTGGACAACAGTAAGAGGATGGCATGTTAAACTGTTGACAGGTACAAGCTGGGTTGAAGCTTGTGCTTATTTTTATTTTTTTATTTAACATGATCAGAGGCAGCATGCGTGATGAAATTTGCAAAGTGGCAGGGTTTATCATGTGTGAATTGAACAGGAGCTATACTTGTAAGCAACCTCTCATGGTCACATGAATCCAAGTACTTCAGCTTAATGAACTGATGGATTGAAAACTGGTACCAGAAAACTGCTTGGCATGACCCTGGGACCTTGCAGTGCATTAAAGAGGACTTGGATGGTTGTGAACTGTCAATATCCCTTCCAGCCAGAGGGCAAAGGCCTACCACTATCCGTAGAATATGAGTCCTTTGCAGTACCTCCCCACCCCACCTCAGCCTCACAGAAGTCAAAGACTGCAAAATCAGATGAAGGCCTTTTGATAAGACAGACAGCTCAAAATCAGATGAAGGCCTTTTGATAAGACAAACAGCTCCTCTAGAGAGGTGGAGTCAACCACAGTGCAGGTCTTGTTAGCCTACATAAGGGTTCAGTTTTCTTTAGCTCCCTGCTGGGACAACATCTTCCTACTGTTTCTTCAGTGAGAGAGAGCAGCCTTCAGATGGGCTCACTTGCACAGCTTCTAACTGGACTTTCTCTGCATTGATCTTCCTTTGCCTGCCATGTCGTGATTTTTCTGACTTTGGACATTACCCATTTGATCTGCCCTTTCCTATTATAACGTTACTTCTCTGGATGCCGCCTACTTCTTCCTTGAGCCTCAAGCACCCAAGGAACAGGACGCCATATGACTCGTATATTGGCATATGTTCACCTTAGTGCCATAAAATTTCTATCCCACTCCCCATATTGTTGGGTCCATTTAGAGTGTATCTAAGTATTTGTTGATCACAGTCAACACACATTATTTAAGAATTTGATTGATTGGTGTAAAATTTATATAAGGTGGAAATCAAATCCAGGTATCCAAGGATCCCTGGCATTTTGTTCTGGGCTGATAAACATGCAAGAAAGCTTTTGGCGAGCGGCAAACCCCAAACTTGTTATAGCTGGCCATGTGTCAAAGTAGTCATAGAGACACTTTATCACACATGCCTAGGCAGCTGTTTTGTACTTGACAAGGCGTGTGGGAAATATTGCACAGCAAGCAATAATCTGGAAAAGTGATGGAGAACTCCCTCAAACTGTCTTGTCTTATAGCAAGTAGTATTGTGCTTTGGATTATCAAATGTGTTATTCTGTATGGTTGAGATGGACAGAATCGTTCTGTTTCCATCCAGAAAATGTTTGTTGTAGGTCTTGTCAGCTTACAAAAGGCTTTAGTTCCATTTAGCTCCCTTCTGGGATAACATCTTCCTACAGTTACATGGGAAGGAATGACAGTAAACCAGGCTCACTTGGAGCTATCCAAGGTCCTGTTTTTCCTATTTAAATGACAACTTCTAACTGGACTCTCTCTGTCTTGATCCTCTATTGCCCGCTGTATCGTAGGCTTTACAAAAGACACAGGCAAAGATTTATATAAAACCCATTTCTAGAGATGTAACTGTGTTAAGCCACATCCACAGTTTATCTTTACAGCACTATTATACTACTTTAAAAGTGATGGCTTTACACTGAATGTTCACTCCATCTCCCTCTTTTAGAATGCACCTTCTGGAAGATGACCATCTTCTGGAACTGGGGTGGGGAACCTCAGGACCAGGCCCCAGATGCAGCCCCCCAGGCCTCTCATCTGGCCCTTGGAACTCTCTCCAGGCCACAACTTTCACTGGCCCTTCTTCACACCTGAAATATTTTTGTATGGCTGAAACATGTCCTTGAGCCCTGGTAGTCTCTTCCTTGCCTGGATGCAGGATAGAGAGGGGTAGGCAAGTGTATGTAGAAACTAGCCTGCTGTAGAAAGGTAAAAAACTGCCTGTGCTACTCTACCCACTTTGCCTCTGGCCCCACCCCAAACTGACATATGCATCACAAAAGACTGCCCAGAACCCAATGTGGAAAAGAAGTGCAAGCTCTAGAAGTGCTAGTTCTGCTGTCAAATCTATTCTAGATTCAGGTAGGTAGCCGTGTTGCTCTGAAGCAGTTGAAATAAATATTACTTTTTTAAAAAAAAAAATTGTCCAGTATCACCTTAGAGACCAACTAAGTATGTTCTTGGTATCTTGGTATCTGAAGAAGTATGCATGCACACTAAAGCTTATACCAAGAACAAACTTAGTTGGTCTCGAAGGTGCTACTCGACTCTATCTATCTATCATCTATCTATCTATCTATCTATCTATCTATCTATCTATCTATCTATCATCTATCTATCATCTATCTATCTATCTATCTATCTATCTATCTATCTATCTATCATCTATCTATCATCTATCTATCTATCTATCTATCATCTATCTATCTATCTATCTATCTATCTATCTATCTATCATCTATCTATCTATCTATCTATCTATCTATCTATCTATCTATCTATCATCTATCTATCTATCCATTTATCTAACATTATGTTCCAGAAGGAATCCTGGAAGTTCTGGAGATATCTGTGACACAATGGGCCTTGGTTGGCCTGCCCATTAGACCAATCTGATCCACATTGGCACAGGAAGCTTTTGTGTATATCCACAGAAGTAGATAGTCTCATGGCAACTACTGAAATCAGGACAGAATCGCAATGAATTCTGTTGAGATCTCAGTCCATTCCAGGATAAGTAGAGCTACAGATGAACCACTAAATTCCACCTGTGTATGTTCACCTTCTATATAACTTGGAAGGGTGAACAAGTGGTGAGGGCAGCGGCTCATAAGAAGCCTATTTGTAGGTGTGGGTCCTCAAGGAAGAGAGAGGGCCGCATGCACTAAGCTTGTGAGAGGATTCTGATTTGCTCCAGATTTAGGAGCCACAGGTATGGGTTTTAGTCAGCATAATCTACACACCAGTACATGTATGGGTCTAACATCACAACTGGCTCACTTACGACCTGATCCACTAAGAACTTCCTTATTCCCTTTTTAAAACAAAACAAAAACATTTTACAGCTTCTTAGAGCAGCCAGTAATTTCACTGTGTCAATATGGTAAAAATCTCTTCTAAAATGTTCCCAGCACAAACCATACATCATAACCTGTTGTCCTTTCCTGGGGTCTGGTAGAGAGAAAGGTCAATTGGAACATTAGCTTATGTTCTTCTATATTGTAATTTTCATTGGGATATCAGACCCCAAATTACTCCCTAGTAGTCTCTTTACACTTGGGAAACTCAAGTTGAATTTTGTGTGTCAAGTTTAATGGCAGATCCTAAACCTAAGGTTACAGGAACTATGACCATGTCCTCACTTTGGCCA